TGTTTGTTTGTTTAATTGGGTATTGATTGCATATATTGGGTAGATATTTTAATCATTACACTTGAAACAATCATCGGTCCAATCTTTTAATTGATTTTCAAGAAGTAATTGAATGAGGATGTGGTCTAAAGTTTACCTACACATTTTACCAACCAGGGATCGATGAGAGCACATTTGCTGCAACATTTACAATAGAATAGAGAATGGAAACAGGGAATGTGTCGAAGAGACAACAACCCGACAAAAGAGTAGAAAACATCCCATCAATGGGTCTTCAATGCAATGAGAAAATCCCGCACATGGAGGAGGCTTCAGCTGGTCCAGAAAAAATGCATACTTGTTCATCGAAATGGTCGCCACACTAAACTCCAAAACATACAAATGAACTAAAATTTAAACAAAACACACAAAAGTAACAAAGACTAGAGGTTCCTGACTTAGGATTGGCGCACAAATTCGGCGGGGTTTAACGTCTTTTATGAGATCTCAACCCTCCCCCTATACCTCTAGCTAATGAGGAACAAACAAACATACAGCACTTGTGTACATTTCCAGTTAATATGAAGTTGCTTTACCATTCATACTACATTAGAAAAAATTGCAATCCATTTGAAATATTAGAAAATTAGACAAAGTTTTCTAGTGTTTGTGAACCACAAAATATAAAAAGCTAAATGCATGTGCTCATTTTGATTGAAAAATAATAGTACTGTTTCGGTTCCTTTTAGTTCCAACATGCATCCCTTTGCTTATTGTCTGATCGATTACAGAAATCATAACACATAATTTTGTAGAAATATAAAATTAAGGCTTAATATCTTTTTATATGTGTAATAATTTCCAATTTTTGTTGAAAGGGCAAATTTTATATTTTGCTTGATTTTGCACGACTAGAAAGAAAAATGTGATCCTAGAGGGCAATCAAAACTCGTAAAGTAAAAGACAACAGCAGGATCATTAAAATAAAAATGAAAATCTTACAATAGTACACTTTATACTTCACACAAAAAAAATAGTCAGTGCATGTAAAAAGAACTCTGATTAAACCTTGCTCCAAAGGATCAAGAACCCTTGCTTCGATAAATGACACATTTCTTTCAAATCATTCGATCAACTAGTTCTGACTAGAATTGATGATGATAAATTGATTGAGTTTGGTTGTTTGACACCTCTTTCAGCAGTCTTTGCGGTAAGTTCGTATTGGTGTGGGTAACTAGAGAATCCCGAGAGAACCACCACCTTTTGACAGAAAAACTTGCAATCCTGTTTAAAAAAGTTGCAAGAAGAATGCACCTTCCCACTAGCGGAGCTCGAAAACACAACATCAGTGTTAACAGGTCAAACTTTATAAATGTAATGTGATGATAAATAAGGAAAAATATAAACATAATGATTTGTGGTATGATTAACAACGCGGTATCTATCCACCATAGACAAAAGGACGAGGATGTAAATTACTATATACATAAGACATTTTTCTTTTATCATGAAAGTGTATATTATCCACAGTATGCACTAAATCTTTTTTGTTGACGTCATTGCCAAATATTATTTTTGTTGGCGTCTTTGTTAGATTAATTTGTATGTTTGTTTGATTTTTTCTTGTCGGTTGTGTTGTATGTCTGTGATGTATGTTTACACAGTTTTGGCTCCTTGATCTCAATTATACGTGTTGTTTTCTTTTTTGGGCACATTAACCTATTATGTCTACTAGGGTTTCTATCCTGCTGCTGACCTAACAAAATAAAAAATAATCGAAATAATTTCCTCCGGGCAATTTGTTAACAGTGATCCACGGGCTAATTATCAATTTTTAAAAAATCAAAAATTTTACCATAGGCAATCACCATATCTCCTTATTAACATTGTTATCATGTCTGCAAAATTTAATGAGAAAGAAAGCGAGAAAAAAATCTTTAAAAATGTTTTTACAGTATTTGTTGATGTATACAGCGTATTTTTGACGTTATAATTTTTTATCAATAATATTGTATAATTATTCCCAGTATACTCACATCAAAATTTATCACAAACAAGAATTATATGTCTTTGACTTTGACTTATGAGTTTGAATATTCCTTTGGCATCTTCCGCTTTTCTTTTCTAATAACTATGTTTCCATATAGCAACATTCCAGCAGCGCCTTCATATGGAGTATACATCTGCCGGTTGATACGATATTCCAGGGCTTACGTTTCCTATCATGATTTACTTAGTAGAGGGTTGATGCTCACAAGGAAGCTATCAAATCAAGAGTTATAGGCGGTGAACCATCCCTTCGAAAAATTTACCGACGCCATTACGAGTTGGTTGACCGTTATGGGATTTATGTTTCACATGACGGATATGTTCCTTTCCGTCCTCCTTTTCCCAGAATGTGACAAACCGAAGAAGACTTATCACCGGGTTTGAACTAACATGAGACACGACGGATGCCACATGTGGAGCAGAATCTGCTGATCAATCTGGAGCACCTGAGATTACTCCCTTTTTTATGGGTTGGTAGTTGCTCAGTACCTAGTTTTCTATGTTGTGTTTTGTGTACTGTTTTGTGTACTGTTGTTTGTCATTTGATCTTTTTTTGCCATGGCGTTGTCAGTTTATTTTTGACTTATGAATGTCCCTTTGGTATCTTTCGCCTCTATTGTACATTTATCTGTGCTTTTTGGTATAATATCTGAAACTATAATATGGAGAGAGACATCTTAAACTGATCACCAAGACAAAATCTATAGATAATTTGGACGGCCGAACTTCTCTGTTGGCTCGTTTTATAAACTATTGCCCTTTAAGCTAACGAACTAAGCATTCGAGACATAAAACAATTTCTAGATGATAATTTCGTTCCTTTGATTGCGTTTGTTATATTCTATTATTATACATTTATAGTGAAAAGAGTTTAATAGTTAGGTTGAATGGGTTTATAAATGTTTTACTTCTATTTCCTTATTATGAGGGAGAGGGAAACCATATCTAGTAAAATTGAAAAAAGACAAATAGACAAAAGCAAATGATATAAAATCGGCACAGGACAATCCGATCTATTGATAATGGCGTAAATATATTACATATGATTTATAAAAAGTGTTAAAATGTAGCTTAGCCACATGTAAAATTTTTAATTACTAGTAGTTATTAATTTGTTAAGGTTTCGGTTTTGATCAACGATTCTGATTTGAGATAGATGTACTTTTAAAAAAATGAAATTATATCGCAATAAAAGACAAATTGCAGATTTTTTCCGTAAATCAAATGACCTTGGCCTTTTATAGCCGACTATAAGTATGGGGTTTCCCATTGTTGAAGACTGTACGGTTGCCTATAGTTGCTTACACTTCATTGGAACTTTGGTGGATAGTTGTCTCATTGGCAATCATACCACATCTCCTTATGTTTTTATATTTTTCAGTGTCGTTTATTATTTTTCAAAATGAAATATTATATGCTGTTAATAGTTTGTTCTTTCGTGTGCAAAATAAAGCTCATCTATCCATATAAGGTAATCCAAATATTTTGTGTATCTTCACATCTCCAACGTATTTACTCTTCCAAAAAGGGTTATAGATTGTTAACCAAAGTCTTACACCAGTGATGTTCAAATATCGTAAATCAATTAGAAAAAAACAAATCAACATAAAAAAACCTATATAAATCTAAAAAAAACGTCAAATGGAGCAAGGTGGTTGGTTGCGTTGAAATAGTAATTATCCTTTGTTACTACTTCATTACTCATAATGCGTGATCCCACTCGGTCAACATGGTCAATATAAAACAGTATTTTCAGGTTTTGAGATTTGTAGCTTATTCATCACAACGTTACGTTATTGGTAGCTTTGTTGGAAAAATAAACAGGTTATTTAAGGTGATGTGATTGTAGGTGTATTCTTCACAACCGTACGTTTAGTTTGATGGCTTTGTTTTTTAATTGAACATGTAATTTAAGGAACTGCTTTAGGTTTCATATCCAACACAACGTTCTGTTATTTAGTATTTGCAACAGTACCTTGTTGCCCTATCCTATTAGGTTTGTTTTACATTTCAAAGACTGCTTAGAATAATAAAAAAAACAAACTTCGTATGGTGCTTATGAGTTACAATGTTTGTTCAATTGAGCGAAGTAATGCCATTTCCCTTTGAAAATGCATGTACCAAGTACTTAATATGGCAGTCGTTTTTTCACTTGTTCCATTGATTTATAGCGTCTGATTTTGCTAGTTTTTATGGAATTCCCTTTTTTGAATTTGCCTTGAAGTTTAATTTTTTTGTTATACTTTTTTATAGTACTCTTGGATTAGATGACAAATCTATATAACTTGCATGCCGATTTGAAATTAAAATGACATCTTTATATCAGCATTGGATGATATATTTAAAATACACGTAAACTGCTTCTACACGCATGTGATGCGTTACTTAATGATATTTTCTTTAGAACTGTTTGACAGTCTGTAGTTAAATATGAACGGATGCTTTCATTATTGTTCATGAACTTGAAATTTTGTTTAGGGCTCCGAAATCATCGTGATTTATGAGTTAGCAAATGACAATAACATGAAAAAAATAAAAACAACATGGAACATGAAATTGTTCCATGCATCAAACTGATAGTATACATAGATGATTATAATAATGTTAACGATGACGATGACGAGGAGGAGGAGAATGTTTTTCTCTTTATCTGATTCTTGGAATAAGTCCATGACATAAAAGTCAATGTAGCTGATTCTACTGAATGTAGTTTTAAATGATAATCACAATTCATTAAATCGTCCATAAACAGCACATGGTTCAAGGAGCATCATCTTATGACAGTTTAAAATGTTTATTTACTAGTGATTTGAAGATTTTCCTTTTTCTCCATTAATTATCCTATCATCTCCTTTGTTTTTGTACATGTTAGTGTGTATTTAAAAGATGTACGTATTCTTTTATTTGAATTTTTTGCTAAACCTTTGACATTTAAATAAAGCGTATTTGCGTGACTGTGAATATCGATTTGAAACACGGAAATATGTCTAAAATGTAGTCCCTAATGACAGTATAACTTCCTTTTAAAAAATGGATTATTATTTAAATGTTTTATTATCGTTGATATATTTATTTGTGTTTGTTCTTTCATTGGTACAAGAACAATCGGGTAAGTGCATTTTTATACAAAACAATTTCAATCACATGTTGTGTAATATTACTTGCATCATTTTATCACCTAAACTTTACTTAGATTTGAAAATTTAGCTTACAGAGAATTTAACACAAATTTACCACATTCAGAATGAATTGGTTTTGTATCATGTTGTGTAAAAATGTATGTAGTTTCTGTTATATAGATACAATGGATAAGCGTGGATTCTTGAAAAAGAAACCATGAGCCCGGAGGGCGAATGGTTTGTTTTTCATGAATCTACGCTTATCCATTGTATCTATAACTTAAACTTTTGTGTTTATTTCTTTTCAAAATTAAGCCTTTTCTTAATTAGAAGGTATTGTGAGTGAGTTTAAATAACCATGTTATCGTGTCCAACGATGCATTGATAAATCTCAGATCACAATTAATTGGTTAACAAAACACAAATATAACACTTCTACCTTTAAAGTTCTTTATATTACCAGGCATATGAATATTATCTGTTTTAACAAAATAAGACATATTCGAAATTATGTCTAATAAAATTGAAAATGGAAATGGGGAACGTGTCAAAGAGACAACAACCCGACAAAAAAGCATACTAGTATATATTATATATAATAAGTATGTTATCGAAATTTTTCAAGCACTCTAGGCACATCACGATTTTCTCGCATAGGAATTTCGAACAAACCTTTGTAAAATTATGTAGTAAAACAGATGAAATCATACTATATTTATAAAACAAAAATTGACGAATAGAAATTAATCGTTTTTGTTTCAAACATATGAAATAGCCAATAATAATAAAAAAAAAACGGTAAAAACTCGCTATTATTACAAAAATATCCACTATAACATGCAAAATTAGAAAAAAAAAACAGGATAACTTAAGATTTGGAACAACATAGAGAATACAGGGATTCGAACCTATACCGACAAATCCCTATCTTTGACTCATTGATTTTAACCATGCTAACCTCGCGGCTACCAATTCATACTATACGACTGCCTATTGTGTCTATATAAAGGTACAAGCCCTGTGTGTCCGATGAACCGATGTATATCAGATGTTCATTTAAATATATAAAATAGACATCTATATTGTAACCCATTGGTAGCCGAGAGGTTAAGTCGATGTGTTGATGTCAGTCACACATAACAGATTTCAAGGAAGGGTTCGATTCCCAGTGAAGGCATATAAAAATCACAAAAAATAAAGGTAAGTTTTTAAATTAATTCCATTAGTGAACAGAAATCAGTAAATTAGCCAATTCAAACTTAATGAAATTAGGCACACAAAGGAAACAATTGAATATAATTTGGTGAGTCAATTTCAGCGGCAGATTTAGGAAGCGTTGATTCTAGAAAAAGAATCCACTGTAAATGAATAGGCTGACGTCACCACAATGGTTTAACGTGTGATCTACGGCAAACAATTTACAGAATACTAATGAATGGCAATAGAAATAATGTTCATCATCTTGATAGTCGTTAAAGGTTTAAATTAACACCATTATTCCCTGTAATGTTAATAACATGGTTTAAAATCATATAACTGCCAACCTTTAACAGATAAGGTACATCCTTAATTGGTGTAGGATACACTAATTTGCGAATTATCTTCAATTTGAAATCATTTGTTTAGTAAAAAGGTTTACATTGGCAATTACACACTATTTTTTTAAACTATAAAGATGATAAGTGTACGTAAAGATCGTTTAACTTTATACACTTTTTAAAGCTGTGTTGTTATATTTACATAACAAACTCAATTATTTAATCTATACAATTATATATTGTTTTTATGAAACCTGTACGTTGCATATTTTTGTCCTCATTTAATAATATATACATATATTTTTTTTTAAATTATGTAACATTATTCTTAATACGTTTTCTTAATTTTTTGTTTGAAATTGATATTTCATTAGTAACGCATTCCTGAAATATATCATAACGATTTATTTGTCAGTATTTCGAGGTCATACAGACAGTTGAGATACCCTTAAATTTACCTTAATTACATATTGAATTTCAAATACTATATAAACTTGATTGACACTTGTTATATGTTTTCAAAGAAAATGAGTTAAAATAAAAAAAGTGAAGGGTTTTTCAAATTGTTTACTATTCTATTGAATGTTTCTTTATTTAGAATGTACTTTTTGTCTCTATAGTTTTATGCTTAAAAGATTTTGTGAGGAATCGATATTAAATGTTAAGTTTTATATTGTCAGATTATCGTCTGCCAAATTGTGATTTAAGTTGTCAATAGGAACTTTTGTGGAATACTAGAAAATATGAGATTGCACACTGAAATTTGTGTTCATCCTATATTACAAACTGGAGACAGAACTAACATTTTGATATAGAAAGCACTGACACTAACGTTATAACAGATTTCAATTATTTAGGCATATAATTATCTACAACTAGTACACCTTAAATAGCCCAGACGCACCTAGCAGAAAAGGCAACAAAAACTATTGTAAATTTGATAAAGTGGTTAAATCTATACTACTCTATGGTTATGAAATCTGGAGTCACTGTAATGATGATATTTTAGAAAGAATCCATCTGAAATCTTTAAAAACTGATGAATTGTCACCTTTAGCTATATCGTATATTGGTAGATATTCATTGGACGTTGATATATGATAAAAGATAGTATCATATCGTTAGGGATTTTTTTTCTGGTTAAGAGACTTAGTTATCTTTTATCGCATATACACTGTTAAAGAGAGGTGATGGATACCGACGTGATATTCAAGCCCTTAAGTCGAAAATAAACTTACATTGCCCTGGTAAAAAAACGACAAAGACGAAAAGACAAACTACAGTATATATAAAATACAACATTGAAAACAAAAATCTGAGCAACATGAGCTCCACCAAAACCCGTGAGTGATCTCAAGTACTCAGGAAGGGTAAGACAATCCTGGGCTACATATGGCACACGTCATGTCGCTCATGTAAGTACAAACCCGGTGATAAGTATAACTCGGTTGGTCATTCAGGGAAAAGAGGGCAGGATTGTGGTTACGACAATTAGAACAAATATTTAGTTGCAGTATTCACTGTTTATACGGTACGTACTGATTTTTTATAAGTTAGGTAACAAATATATGGAATAAATGTAGTTTGTAAATATTTGGAATACTAAAAGTTATTTAGGCATATAATTATCTACAACTAGTACACCTTAAATAGCCCAGACGCACCTAGCAGAAAAGGCAACAACAACTATTGTAAATTTGATAAAGTGGTTAAATCTATACTACTCTATGGTTATGAAATCTGGAGTCACTGTAATGATGATATTTTAGAAAGAATCCATCTGAAATCTTTAAAAACTGATGAATTGTCACCTTTAGCTATATCGTATATTGGTAGATATTCATTGGACGTTGATATATGATAAAAGATAGTATCATATCGTTAGGGATTTTTTTTCTGGTTAAGAGACTTAGTTATCTTTTATCGCATATACACTGTTAAAGAGAGGTGATGAATACCGACGGGACATTCAAGCCCTTAAGTCGAAAATAAACTTACATTGCCCTGGCAAAAAAACGACAAAGACGAAAAGACAAACTACAGTATATAAAATACAACATTGAAAACAAAAATCTGAGCAACATGAGCTCCACCAAAACCCGTGAGTGATCTCAAGTACTCAGGAAGGGTAAGACAATCCTGGGCTACATATAGCACCCGTCATGTCGCTCATGTAAGTACAAACCCGGTGATAAGTATAACTCGGTTGGTCATTCAGGGAAAAGAGGGCAGGATTGTGGTTACGACAATTAGAACAAATATTTAGTTGCAGTATTCACTGTTTATACGGTACGTACTGATTTTTTTATAAGTTAGGTAACAAATATATGGAATAAATGTAGTTTCTAAATATTTGGAATACTAAAAGATATTTAGGCATATAATTATCTACAACTAGTACACCTTAAATAGCCCAGACGCACCTAGCAGAAAAGGCAACAAAAACTATTGTAAATTTGATAAAGTGGTTAAATCTATACTACTCTATGGTTATGAAATCTGGAGTCACTGTAATGATGATATTTTAGAAAGAATCCATCTGAAATCTTTAAAAACTGATGAATTGTCACCTTTAGCTATATCGTATATTGGTAGATATTCATTGGACGTTGATATATGATAAAAGATAGTATCATATCGTTAGGGATTTTTTTTCTGGTTAAGAGACTTAGTTATCTTTTATCGCATATACACTGTTAAAGAGAGGTGATGGATACCGACGGGATATTCAAGCCCTTAAGTCGAAAATAAACTTACATTGCCCTGGCAAAAAAACGACAAAGACGAAAAGACAAACTACAGTATATAAAATACAACATTGAAAACAAAAATCTGAGCAACATGAGCTCCACCAAAACCCGTGAGTGATCTCAAGTACTCAGGAAGGGTAAGACAATCCTGGGCTACATATAGCACCCGTCATGTCGCTCATGTAAGTACAAACCCGGTGATAAGTATAACTCGGTTGGTCATTCAGGGAAAAGAGGGCAGGATTGTGGTTACGACAATTAGAACAAATATTTAGTTGCAGTATTCACTGTTTATACGGTACGTACTGATTTTTTTATAAGTTAGGTAACAAATATATGGAATACATGTAGTTTGTAAATATTTGGAATACTAAAAGTTTGTTAACGATATGTAGTTAAAATCAAACAGTACCGGAATTAACAACTGCAAGTATCTCAAAAACACTTAATTACCCTTCTTTTAGCTAGAATTATAGTTTTAAAAATATTAAGAGATCTTGAATCTACATGAAAGAATTATTTTGTACATATGTTGCACCTCTTCTGTACCTATGTATCTACAATGGTTATGATAATATATTGTATAACCATTATTGTATCACAGAAAAGTGGCAGATACCAAACTTATATTTAAATTCAAGTCGAAGATAAACTGAAAAAAAAACAGGCAAAAATCGAAAACCTACCAAAAGGCAAACAAAAATCAACAAAACAAAACATAGAAAAACTAGAGACTGATCAACACTATGAGCACAAAATTATCGCATTGATTGAAATTCTTTGTATTCCAGTAATTGAGAACGCCAGATGGAGAATACATACGTACATCGCGTATCTCACATTGGAAAGCTGTAGCTGTCTTTAACATCTTCAAATAGATATTGTCTAAAAAGTTATAATCTTTTGAATATGCAACTTTTTGTTCATTACGGAAAAAAGATGGTCCTATATATTCTTATAAATGTTAAACATTAAGGAGAATGACTGAATAATTAGGTTGATAAATCAGCAGTCTTGCGGCATATTACGGAAGTTATAAATCTGCCACTGCCATCTCTGCTTGGGCTTACGTATTTAAATGTTTTTCTATTTTCAAACAATGTGACCAAGGCGAATGATTTCATTTGATATTACACGTCCCTTTCCAGATTTTCTAGTGTGCAAAATACTCGGGCTCATTGTCGTAGACTTTATTATTAATGCTAGCCAGAAACAGCTAATTTGGGATATTCTTATGGTTTAAACCTTTTCTAATTAATATATAGTGAACATTATTGCATTTTCATCATGATTTGTCAAGCATAAAAAATAACAAAAATCTTGTGGACCATAAAAACTTTTCAAAAGTTTACCGTTAACAAAACCATTAAAATCGGAAAACAAATGAGAAAATGTTGATAAGTCTCGTTTACGATTTAATAACCAGCAGTTCATGAAAATCAGTAAATTAGGTTGATCTTATCATTGTATTTTTTTTAACATGTGCACAATTGTTTGACTACATAGCGTTCACTAACATCACGTTATAAGACGATGTTGTCATTTTCTCCTGTTGCCTTTCAAACATTGAATACAAATGTTTAAGAACTTACAATAATATACTTCATATGTTTCAATAAATTGCCAGCTAAAATATTTTGTACATTTAACAATGAGAGAGAATTCAATTGCAATTCTTAATATAAATTCTGATATAGTTTATAGACACTAATGATTTATTTTTTATCTGCTATATTTTTTTACATTTTTCACCTATATTAAATTCAGATGTAAGAACTGAAACCATCCCTATAGATGCAGAAGTCTCAATTTCCTGTGGGAATGATTCAACCATAAGCATCGAGAAAATATACATCAATCGTATTAGCACACCATGTACGCCAAAGGATTATGAATGCAGTCTAACCGATGATGTCTTGAATGTGATGAAAATAAATTGCGATAAAAAACTATCATGTACGATCGACATGCACGCAATCACCACTAATACTACGAACTGTTTAACGGATTTTGGATATTTCAACTTTTCATATGCATGCAATAGTAAGTATAGATTTCTTTCAAATTTTGTTTCCCTTAATAAATCTTCCTTGCAACAAATGGTCATCTATCATGTCTATGGGTTTTTTTATTTGAATTTTGGAAAAATTTGCACAAACTGCATTTTCCTATTGGGAACAAACGAGTAAATCACTTACTAATTTTAGGAATTTTGTGTCCTAGAAACTTTTCAACTACGTACTGATTTGGACTTTTAACTATTTTGATTCGAGCGTCATTGAGTCTTATTTAGACTAAACGCACGTCTGGCGTACAAAATCATAAGCCTGGTATCTTTGGTAAGTTTTTATAACCACTGGGCCGATGCGACTGTTGGCGACGTTTCGAACCCGATGGTATTACCAGCCCAGTATTCAGCACTTCTATATTGACCTGGAATATCATTGATACGGTCATTTTCATATTTGAATGATCACAAAACTTTGAATAGTTCTAAATACTTAGGATTTTCTAACCCCAGGCAAAGATTACGAAAGCATTTTTTGTTTGCCATTTGTTTTAAATTTTTCTCTTGCTCTTCAACATTGTACCTGATATGGCCTTTTATTTAGTTTGATTTGAGCGTATATAATCTTGTTTTGAGCGTATATAATCTTGTGTAGACGAAACGCGCATCTGACGTACAAAATTATAAGACTTGTATGTGCTTTACATTATTGTTTTGGTACTTTGTGATTTTTACGTTCTGCCATAAACATATTTATACTACTGTAACGGTTATTTTTAAAATATGGTTTGTAATTTTGTTATCGCAAAAATTATGAACAGTTACATTCGTATTAAAAAAAAATAATTAATAATTATAAATAACTCAATTTCAAGGACTGTGTCTTTTCTCTGTATTTAACGTAAAATTGCTTCTATTTCAGGTGAAACTGTTATTTATTCAGTTAGCATTCATGTAACATGATACTTGTGATCGTGGAAGATCGTGTATCCCTTATTTGTTTTTGCAAACAACATTGAAAACATTCCTATCATTCTTTAAAGGGACATCAGCTAAGAGAAAAATATGATTGTATTGTTCATTAATGAAAGTGAAATAGTGAAATAATAATTCGCTTCTAGAAGCCAGTTTGGTTCAATTTTGTTAAAATAAGCTAACAAACTTCGCTGATGAATTATTCACTTATACGATATCCAAGGGGTTTTATTTCCTATCATGATTTCAATGATCATGATGATAAAGGATTGCTGCTCACAAGGAAGCTATCAAACCAAGAGTTCCAAGTGGTGAAGTTGAAATCACCCCTCCGTAAATTTTAGGGACGCCATCACGAGTTGGTTGACCGTTATTGAATATCTGTTTCACAGATGACGACGGATATGTTCCAGTTGTTTTAACTACAATCCCGTCCCCTTTTTCCCGAATGTGACCTACTGAATGAGACTTATCGCCGGGTTTGTACTAACATGAGCAACACGATGGGTGCCACATGCGGAGCAGGATCTGTTTATCCACACATCTCACATGAGATCTCTCCCAGTTTTTGGTGGGGTTCGTGTTGCTCACTCTGCTTTAGTTTTTCTATGTTGTGTACTGTTGTTTGTCTGTTTGTCTGTTTGTCTTTTTCTTTTTTAGCCGTGGCGTTGTCAGTTTATTTTCAACTTATGAGTTTGAATGTCCCTTTGGTATCTTTCGCCTCTCTTATAAGATCTAAGACCGCGAAATCATGTCGCTAATAAGTTGATACACAGACATATCGTATTGGCCAATCATTTTTTTTTATGGTAAACGCTTAATTGTTGAAGTGTCGATTTCAGTCGTAGTTCCTCGTCCTCTGTTGGGGCAGTTTTTCTGTAAGGTGCAAATCCGTGCCTATAAAGTCCGTATAGTGTGAACATGTACGAGCGTAACGTATCAATTGAGATATGTAAACGCCATATGATACGGCAGAGTGTATCTTACTGCTGATAAATAAAATGTTGTCAATTTGAAAGTTGAAATTATCACGTTTGTCATAGATTCTAGTTCAAAGTCGTCAGTCTCTGTCAGTATAGAAGAAGCGATAAAGATATGTAGCAGACCTTCAAGTTTCGATTGTATTCTTAATCTGATATTTAGAAGTTCCATCAACCTATCATGATTTTTCCGCGGTGATTATAATGTTTTACCAAAGAAGATTCCCTATGCTTTCAGCTAATGAGAAAACAGAAAATTTATTATCATATACATTGTAATAAAACTGTTAAGGATACGAGGAAGTTTGAAGTTTTAATTCTTTATATTTTTCTTGCAGTTAATGTTTTATCTTGCGACTTTGAAAACAATTGGTGCAATTGGTCGAAAAAGAGTAACAACAGTGAATTTCAGTGGAAAAGAGTGAAAAATGACACAAACAGCACGATTTTCCCAAGAGATCACACTACTGCATGTGAGTATATTTATAATCATAACTAACTATTACATTTGAATGGAAGTTGAGAAATGTGAATGGACGGATTTAATAGATCTGGGTTTACAGTCATAAAAATGTAAAGAATGATTATTCTACTCAAATTAAAAAAATCAACCAATCAAATTACTGGATTTGATGTTTCCAGCACAAATTTTATACTCAGAGTACAGGTTAACGTTTTTCATGTGTTATGACTGAAAGACCTGATGATGAAGAAAATCGAAAATAAAATTACATTTTTTACTGTAGCTTGCATATGATTCGACAATAGTTAAGTAAATGCTGTAACTGATAATGAAAAGTATCTTCATGCTTTTATTTCGTTATTTCAAGGGAGAGACCTGCTTTAAGCCAGTGACATTTTTTAATCAGTTATATGTTTGTAATGGTTAGCTAAGCACATTTTTTATTGATTCTTTTTTTTTTTATTTACTTATTTTGTTTAGAATAAAATCGATCTACATGATGTATTCATTCAACAACGAAGAAGACAATGTACACGTATTTTGAAATCACTTTTTTAAATCCTCTAGTATACATTTTTTGAATTGATATAGGCAGTCTGTACATTAATATACACATACGTAAAGCGTGTTTGCTGACATAGTAATCAATGTAATCATAAAGACGTATACCTATCGTTGCTTACTTCTACGTCATTTGGTGTCTATTGGATAGTTGTTTCATTGGTAATCATACCATATTCTTTAATTTGTTTTTAGAATCAAATTCGGTGTCTACTGATAACTTAACATGCTAAAGTAAGAATGTTTATAGAGAAAAAGCTTGAATTACAACTGTTATAACTTTTTCACAACAACATTTAAAATTCCTTACGTATTGAACGCCTAATTTCCATTTTTAAATGATATATCGGTTCATACACGAACTGCAAATGATTGGTCTAAATGGTAGTTTAGGTACTACCGATATATTTGTGCTTTTATAGATTGAATTGGAGACAGAAGTAACATATAATTTAATATAATCTTGCTTTAAGTTTTTTTAACGGAATCATTTACTTAAATTCGCGGCACGATTTTTTTTTAATTTAAACACAATGACAAAATACAAACGTTAATCTTGTTTATCTTATATCTGATTAAAACGTGGAAGAACAATAATCATTATTTTCAAATCCAAAACGTCAAATGTCCGATGTATTTTTTTTTCTTATTACATTCATGGAAACAAACACTGCGAACTCTTTATGAATGTAATTCGCAACATAAACTTGGAGTTCGCATCGCATAAACCTAATATCCAAAAAAAATATTATAATATAAACTTTCTTATACAGAATTTGGATTCACGGTTTCTTTCACAAGAGGGGGAACTCAAGTATATTTGGTAATTTTTGTAATCTGATGCTAAGATAATATGGGGTAAAGATGACTGCTTCTTTATATAGTTTATGCTAAGAGTTTGTGAAGTTATTCGATGTTTTCTCAACCTAAATTAATTTTAGCGAACGTTATGATGATACAACTGAATCAATCATAAAGAATTATTTTTGACGTATTTTACTGTCTGCTTACCTACCAAAGCACCTGAGATCACCCAGGTTTTTACTAGTGTTCGTGTTGCTCAGTTTTCTATGTTGTTTTTCATGTACTGTTGTTTGTCTTTTCGTTGTTTTTCGTTTTTTACCATGGCGTATTTTTCGATTTACGAGTTTGAATATCCATTTGGTATCTTTCACCTCTCTTTTAAAGAAATGCTTCTATCTATCTGTATATTATCATTATAAAACAAATTTACATTTCAATAGAGCAAATTTGATGCATTAAATCAACTCGAGGATCTAACATTTTGTTTTGTCTAAAGAGCCTGTGTCGATCAACTACATCAATGTCCATCTTCATTAATGGACACTTTCCAACATTGTAGATTAGAATATGAATTATGACTCAAATCTCTTTTTGTTGAATTTGTATTGCTGATTATTTTTATGCTTACACTTTCTCTCTATCTTCTAAAGCTTTTGTTAAAAAACGAAAAAACTTTGTTCGAGATGATATGATATCAGCAGGTTAAATCCTTTGAGATTGGTTGCATCCCCTCCCCTAAGCTCTTATATCGACGACTGTTCTTCATGGAAGATTTTATACACCTACGTCATAACATATATCACTTAGTTCATAATATATTCTATTAAGTTTATATGATATATCATTTTGCTCATAAGATATCTTAAAAATGGAATAAAAATAACAACGGCTTGCCATATATCTCAAGCATTGGTTGACCTATTGCTGGTAGTATTTGATGTACAGACCTTTGACCATAAAACTTTGTCCATGAAATGATATCATGGTCAGGTGACCCCTGTATTACGGACATATAGAGTTTGCAAAGATCCATATATACTAAATAATGTTATCCTTATACTTACAATAAATGAGACACTCGTGTTATTCAAAACCATTAAGAGTTTTAAACACTCGCTGAACAAGGGAAAAAAGGTCAAGGACAACGTATATATATGATAAACAAAAACTTGGTAATATAATGCATCTTTATACAAGGTATGAATCATCCAGGTAATCTACCTTTTGAAATAAAATGTTTAAAGCTCATCCAAAGATTTAACATGGATGCTGCTGGATAAGAATCACTAGCTATACAATATCACGCATTTTGAGACTTTTGTCGCAGGGGAGATTCATTTCTTTTTTGTCCAAAAGTGGGGGTGTCATAAAAATCATACACATTACAGATTGTTAATCATTACTATTTGGAATAAATAGGGAGTTTGTTCATGCTTTGGTTAAAGTTTTATGTGATTAGTTATGTGGATACAAAACATAACGCGAACTTTTAAGCCTGGAGTTTATTCGATCTTCTCTAATGTGAAAACGAAATGAGAAAAGGTATGAAAGATAATCATGTATTTCTAAGTTTTTATGGGGTTTTTTTCAGCTTCAAACGGTTCGTATGCCTACATTTATTCATCAGTATCCCAAAAGGACGATGTCGCCAAACTTATTACAGAAAACATAGTATCGTCAAAGAATCAATGTCTTTCGTTCTGGCATTACATGACAGATTCTAACCATGTTATAGAGGTAATTCACAATGAACAAAATGTATACAATGTGACGGGACCTTCAGAAAACAGATGGATTCGAACAGAAATTCCTATTCAACAATATTTTCCAAATTCCATGTATACTATTACGTTTAAGGTAGTTAGTAGAATGATAGACATCGACGGTGTTATTGCCCTAGATGATATTATGCTGGTCAACAGAGCTTGTGAAGGTAGGATTTAATTCGTATTTTGTATTACATATTCATGTGGGTGTTTTTATATTCTATTTCATTTTATGTTTAGTTTCATGTTTTGTTCTTTTCAAACCGCTACATTGTGTATAATCTATTCTTTATATGGTTAGCTGACTCGTATTTCACAATTGTTGACTTTTCCATTAAATGAATGGATATTCATATATTGATTAATTGATTTACAGAAAAGACAAAAACAATTTTATTTTTTTTATAAAAACTCAGCAAAGATACCAGGTATATATAATAAATTTTGATAAAATTGAGAATGGAAACGGGGAAGTCCATTTTAAAACTATAAACAATAAAAGAAAAACACGACGATATGTTCATTATTCAAAGTATTCAGTATGTACACCTAATTAAGATATTAACAACCAACTTAATATATAATTTTGTAATAGCTTCAACAGAACTTTTTTTTTATTTTATTCTTTTACATAACATATATGTTTGCAGTTATTGTGTTTCAAAGACATTTACACTTACTTTTGCGCTATCTTTTTAGAAAAACTTTCTCTGAAATAACTTGATTGTAATCAAGTCATATTGTGACATAATGTGATTAAAGTGAGATGTCCCTTTCTCCACATCGATACCCACCCTTTTGAAAATTTCTCTGTTGACACAACCGGTATCGGTTCTTTTGGAGTTCATGTTATTCCTTAAATTTCTGTTTACCACCTTGATTTTTCTCCATTAACAGATTTGAGAGATTTGGACATCGGTTCACTACAGTCGACGTTATTCGTCATACTTTAATGCCTAAAAATATATCATTTAAGTATAATAACTTTAAAGTACTGAATGTAAGTAATCGGTTCTCGTTGAATGCTTGAACAAGAAATTGTTTTAACAAGATACAATCATCTTTGTAGGTCTTTTTCATCAGTGTGACTTTGAATACGACATGTGTAACTGGCATACCAGTAAAAAAGAAAATGAAACATCTGAATACTCTTGGTCACGACACAAAAGGCACAATAACACACTTCCTGAAACAGACCATACTACAGGATCTGGTTGGTATAGTAATCCTTTAAACAATGTATTACAAAAGAGTAATTTTCATTTTCTAACATTGGGTCGATACCACTGCTTGTAGACTGCTAGTTCCTCAGGGCATTATCAACTATGCAGTCAGGGCTTTGGTTACTGACATAATTTATCACATACCTTTCGACAACTCTACGTAAATAAATCTATAAATTAATAATAACTTTATGTTCCATCTCCCTCAGCGAAACTTGACTTTAGATCGATTTAGCTATTTCTTAAAGGACCTTCGTTAACGTGTTTAGGTACATGTACATTCTTGGCCTTCAAATTTTGGGTTTGAGCGTCCCGGTATTCAGTTCTTCCAAAACAAAATAATTTTATTAAGTGTTTTTTTTTCATGATACATTTGACAGAAATAAAGTATGGAAGTCTCTAAAAATACTCATATAGTCTCTATTTGCAAAACGAATCATACTTTGTCTTAGGGTTTATATTTTTTTATTTATCATGTGCAAAACGACGAAATTCTCGTGTAACACAGGAACTGCATACTATTCCGGAGCACCTAGATTTACCGAAAGTTTTCAGTGAGGGTATAATTATTCAATCTCTAATTGTCTGTGTGTTGTTTTGTATACTGTTGGTTTTTTTTCACCGTGGTATTGTTTGTCTTTAGATCTGCGGTTCATGGTTTTCATTTGACCCCGCAATATTATCCCACATTCATTTCGGGAAATGTATTGTTCATAAAAGCCTCAGGATACTGAAAATTATTTGTTGTATGTGTACATTTGTCTGATCAACGGTCAACGTTACTCTCTTGGCTAGGTGTACGTATTGATTATATTTAAGTCTGTTTTTCGAAAAAGACGCAGCCGCTGTAATCTACATTATACTTCACACATCCTTCATGGTGTGTATATTAGTTACATGCCATTTTTACATCTGCACAAAGCTATATATGCTTCCCTTTCAACCTTCGTTCTCTGTTAATTTTATGTTTGGTATTAACGGTTACAAATCAACATTCAAACCAATACAATCTTAAAGCTTTCAGATCGGTTGGTAAGGATGTAACGAACATCAGAACATTTCTAACACTTTCGGTTGCCAAGAAAGGTCCCAATGCCATTTATTTAGACAATATCATTCTTTATTAATTTGTTCAATTGAAAATACCTTCTTTCTTTAAAGATCTATGTGTTCTTTTCATTTCCTATACCCATATCACACATGCACTTACAATTTTCAAATTCACACACGTGTTGTATGATCTCAATATTGAAGACTTCAAGCCTAAACGTTCTCATAAGTCATTTGCTAGTCCCCCATTAATGTATAATGCTACCGGCCACGTTATTACTGGTGACCTGACATTGTCCCTTACACTTCTCTGCGAAATGGTTTAATCAAAAGGCATAAATCCATGCGTTAAACACACAGCTTGAAAATACTTATGGATTTAGTCGAGAATAAAGCCAGGCATATCTCTGAACGTTACAAAGACGTATATATTTATTCGAAATAATTTATGACTGTTGATGCTTATTTCATTTTTTTCAATTAATTCTTTATGAACATGCATGCTACATATATCAATAAAAAAAAAACGAATGCTACTAATAAGCTGTCATACCTTAATGACAAACATGTTGTTATTCCTTCACACATATCCCCTACCAATTTTTGTCTTAGGAAGGATCATATTACGCAAACTTGCTTTATATAGAAATAAGTTATTGATAAATCCACAAAGAGACTCCAACACAAACATTGACAGTACCAATTTTACTGAACCAGATGCACTTTTCGACAATTATAGTCTCTTCAGTGATGCTCGAGGCCAAACCACTTAAAGTTCAAAACTTATTCACCAACACTGACCAAAACTGACCAAATGTTTAATGGTGGGTACGCTAAATGCTCCATGGAACCTCTTTCTAAATTTTCAATATTTACTCTGTTAGCTATTAGCAATCAAAGCCGGGCCTCAGAGTTACTGCAAAAACTCATACTCTATGGAGGGGTGAATCAGGTGTGGATACTAAAAAATTAGAATGTTGTGCTAGAGTACATGCAGTGGAAACCACTTTCTTTTGCACACCATAAATACACTCCGGTTCAACCATAAATTTTCAGAAACTGACAGTCAATTCGCAAAATACATATTTTGATTTTATTGTCAACATATTTGTAACATTTCAGAGACGTTTGTTCAACAAAGAATCCTATCAGAAGCAACTCTTGTCGAATTCGTCCTTTATTATACGAGGCAAACTTCATGCTGGGGTTTTTCCCTAAGAATGAAAAGATGCCAGTATCATGATTTAACTTCACGTTCGGTCCACCTTAAAGATGATATCCGCCTACTAAATAAATCAAAGTTTGGTGACTATGTTAGCGCTGAACATATCTCTTCCATCAAATTTGAAATAAAGGATACCGCAAACATACTTAGGTCTTTCTCATACTTGACTTACGTTTAGAATTTACAATAACGGTCGGATCACAATAAAACTGTACGACAAAAGAGATGATTTCAACTTTATGATTACGAGTTTTGAGTTTCTATGTTTCAACATTCAAACAGCGCCTGCATATAGAGTAAAAGTATACATCTCACAGTTGATACGATACTTCCTATTATGATTTCCTAGAAAAGATTGGCTCCTCACATGGAAACTATTAAACCTAGTGTTCCAAGTGGTCCAAATTTTATAGACGCCATCAAGAGTTGGTTGACCGTTATCAAATATCTGTTTCACAGATAGAGAAGGGTATATTTAGTTGTCGTTACCACAATCCCGTCCTCTTTTTACTCAATTGTGACATCATCGAATTAGACCATCATTATTTTTGTGATGGGCATTATGACAGATTCCACAAGTGAGTAAGGTCAGCTTACCCTTCCGGAGCACCTGAGATCACCCCCAGTTTTTGGCGGGGTTCGTGTTACTTAGTCTTTATTTTTCTATGTTGTTTTTTGTGTACTATTGTTTGTCTGTTTGTCTTTTTCTTTTTTAGCCATGGCGTTGTCAGTTTATTTTCGATTTATGATTTTGAATGTCCCTCTGGTATCTTTCGCCCTTCTTTTACTCTTCCGATGCATCTTAAACATGTTAAAGTATCAGATTCTGATAGAAGCTGCATTATAAAAAATCGTATTTCGTTTCAATTAAGGTATCATGCGGTCTTTTATGTCTTAGTGCTAACAAATATTGTATGTTTATTGAATTTGAATGCTCTAGTTTTTAAGATAATATCAAATGCATATAATGAATGTTATTCCAAAGAGGTGTGCCATTGTCAATTGAATCGGTATCATTAATTCAACTACTTCATTTACCCTGTAGAATAACTCCCAGCCTCCGGATAAATTTTTCGATATGTTAGGTCTGCTTCGTTTTGTCATGATCTGTGAAATATTTGATTACTTTAAGCTTGAACAAAAAATCATCATAGATACCAGAATTATGATTGTGTACGCCAGACGCACGTTTTGTCTACAAAACACTCATCAGTGACGCTCGAATAAAAAAAATAAAAAAGGTAAAAAAAAGTACGAAGTTAAACAGTCATATTAACGAGCATTCAAGACCAACAATTACAAAATGTTTTGCCTAATACAGCTAAGGTTATTTATTCCAGGGGTTGGAAGTCTTTTGTATTACGAAAAATTCTAAATTTAGAAACAGGTGATTTATAATTTCGACCGTATCAATGGCAACGGATAGATACATCCATGACTTTAAAACTGGTTTCAAATGATGTAATTTGGAGAAGAAAACATTTCAAAGTCAGATTACTTTTTGGAAAGTGTCATTTCCAGTAACTCACGAACCTTTAAACTGTGCTACTTTATATATTTTTTTGACATTAATCCTTCTTCAAAGCTATTTTTTGTCATTTTATTAGGCATTTGTCATTCCAAGTCATTGCATTATATACATGTATACAAAACATTATGTAAAACATGGTATCTAGGGTAAATACCTCAACACTAACTTTACCATCAGTATTGAAAAATAAGTCTTTAAAATAAGTCTGCCGACACGTTACTCGATTGTGTATTGTTGACAACAACTCCTGCATACCGCCTTATCTCTGATCTAAATTGTGTATGTGGATATTAAAGGAAAGTATATTTCATAATGTTACAAATTCTAGAAAAACATTTCGACACATTCAATAACTTTTGCATCGAATGAAAAAATCCCTGGTGAACCATTTACTTTCTGCACATATGCTAGAAAGATTTCTTACAAATGAATGATTGCGATATCTATCAAATAGGTACTTGAGATAAATTTTTATGGACCATGGCCAGTAATTGTCAAGTGTATTCATTCAACAAATAGGTATTGCGTGAGGACTTTATCAAGTCTATGATACATTGATGAAGTTACGCCCTCATATACGTATCTTCGTATGATGTTTTCCATTGCATAAAGCTGACTAAAAAAGGGAGAAAACAAAAAATTTCTTCTTAAAAGGATAATTTGGCAGTCTTGGCAGAGAAAAAGGGTTTTTAAACAATTAAAGTGTTGCATGAATAGTTTTCCGTAGTGTGACATTAAACGGGTCTTTAATTAAATAACATAGAACATTCACTATTCCTTGTGTATTACTTTAAATAGTATCAAAGTAGTTGTATACAAATAATATGATTTTTATAGTACATAACATACATGTATAGATGATTTGAAATTTATTGAGATGCTTAAACGGGTACATGGATGCATCTATACAACTAAAGGAAGGAGTCATGACATGTTTATTTTTAACTTCTTGTCTTCTTTCTACACAAAGGAGATACGTAAAATGTAAACTCGTATTGATGAACCATTCTGATCCTGCATTATATAATGTCTTAACAAAATATCTCAACTAGTGTTCTTGTAAAATAAATAGTCCGCGAATTAGTACCCCCTTTAGTTTATGAACAGGAATGTTAAGACTTAGTTGTGTTGATAATTATATCCGCTCTTATTACATATATTGTGTAACCCTTTTGTTGAAAACTTGTTCACATGAACTTTTTGTATCATATGTTACATTCTATGAATAACTGCTTAATGACAGTGAATAATACTTCCTTCGATAAACAATATTTGATAACTTTATTTGATTCTTTATTTACAGAGAATGGATACTACATGTATTTGAATGGTACTTTGGCCTTCCATGGTGACAAAGCATATATTAAAAGTCCTATTTTAAATGCATTATCTGAGACCTGCCTCTCATTTTGGTATTACATGAACTGTTATGGTAATGGAAGCGGCGGATTAAATGTGACTGTAAATGAAAACCTTGTTTTTATCAAATACGAAGACCATGGTAACCAATGGATAGAAAAAATGATAAACATTGTTCCCATAGAAAACCTGACGATTGAGTTTATTGGCGTATTTGTCAAGGATGATCCATGTGACATTGCATTGGATGATATAGCATTGACACCAGGATCATGCTCAGGTATATATGTGCATACATATTTATACATGTCACTTGTGTATCAAGCTCTTATCTGCCTTCAACGGTAAAAATGTTCCTGAATTGAATGCCTCTATTTTTGGGTGGTGACTGGAATTGATACTGAAATGTTTTAAGTCGGAGTCAATCAAATATGCATTATACATGTACAAAACGCAACGTTACTTTAAACACACTACATTTGATAACTATAGCATCAAATGTTACGTATGCATAAAAACAACAAAATTCAATTACTTTTGCATGTGAACTAATGTTAATACATTGTATTACATTAAATCGATGTATCAGAAGCAAATATATAGCACTGAATGTCATATTGTAAACCAGTATGAAAAGGTAAGGAGACGAGGTATAATTGTCAATGTGACAACTATCCCCCAAAAACTAAAAGAAGTGGAAGTAAGCAACTATAGGTCACCGTAAAGTCTTCAAAAACGACAAACCTCATATCGTATAGAAAGCTATAAAGATATGACAACAACCTATTTCTACAAATACAAATTTGACAGACAGCAAACAACGATTACCACTAAATTACATCCTCCTGATTTGAGATAGGTACATTTAGAATGTGGCGGGCTTTAAAATGTTTGCTAACGCCAGACCCATCTTTTGCCATGATTTTAAAGAGCTTTACCAATCAGCTATACATGAAGCATTATAGTTAGATAACAAAAAAGACAGAAAAGCACAATGCACAGAGTACCGATCTAAGAGAGAGGCAAAAGTTATCAAAGGCACATTCAAATTCATAAGTCGAAAATAAACTGACAACGCCATGGCAAAAAACGAAAAAAATCAAAAGACAAAGAAAACAACAGTATATATAACACAAGATAACAACCTAAAGACTGAGCAACCCAAACCCTTTCAAAAACCGGGTGTAAATGCAGGTGCTCCGGAAGGGTAAGCAGATCCTGTTTCACATGAAATACCCGTCATGTTGCTCATGTTAGTACAAACCCGGTGATAAATCTGATTTGATAGGTCATATTCGGGGAATAGGGGGGCGGGATTGGGGTTACGACGATTAGAACAAATCTGTCGTCATCAGTGAAACAGATATTTCGTAACGGACAACCAAATGCTGATAATGTCCGTAAAATATTCGCAGAGATGATTTCCAAATGAGTATTCGATATAACTAAAAGCTGGCTCAAAGCCAATTACAACTAATACATTTATGTTTTCCTATACTGGAAAATCACTTCAAACCATACGAATAGAGATATAAAAAATCTGTATGTATTCAATTTCTTGAAATTATGTGCATGTACTTGTAAAATACATATCACATTCCTTCCACAGGATGGTATACACAACAATATAACTGCGCTAACATTGATAGGAATACGATGGTAGAAACCTGTCCAACAAAGTACGTAGATATGCAAAACGTGTCTTTGTCTTTTGAACCTGAAAAGGAGATATGTTTAGAATATGAGATAAAAGAACGATTTCTTCACAATTGTACTATATCGGAGGATGAAAAAAGTTGTGAACTTAATTTGTCAAGTTATGTTCAGCGTTATCCTGAATGTTTTCGACCTAATGAAATTCAGATACAGTATAAATGTGAAGGTACGTAAAATAAGCTGTATGTCTGTGTGTTCGTTCATCATGTTCATAAAGTAGGTTCTTATTTTTTGCACTTCGTTCTATTTTAACCAGATTTTCCATATACTTCACCTTTTCAAATATCAACTGTTCTTGTATACTTTTATAAAATTAGGCCCCCCTGATCGGCGGTATGACGTCATTATCATTAAACCTTTTCACACAACATGTAGAACAACAATTTTTACTGTTTCTTCGTAAAAAGATAACAAGAAAAAATTAAATGGGGAGATAAGTTTAATATGGAAAAGTGTTCGGTAAGAATTGTTGTGTTTCAAAAGCCCAATAAACATGATAAAAGTTCGATGTCAAATACAAAATATCTTACCGACATGTTGCGAAAATGAAAGCGACATTTCAGAAACAAAAGTGGCGGAAGAAGAAAAAAATAATCAGACCACAATCATAAAGTATTCAAAGGAAACGTGGCAAAACCTCACGTAGGGCCTAATCTTGCATCAACCATCAACAACTATAAGTTACTTTATTTACTTATATGTATTTGTCATTAAATCTTTTAAATTGTGAATATTTGTTGGAGGTATGTTATCTAACTAAAACTGATAACGTCTGGAATGGATTGACGATGCATATACCGGGTTTGTATTTCTGCTTGTGTGACTTACCTTACAAGGAGGCCAACACTTTAAAACTTTGAAGTCTAAATAGAATAAATACCAGTTTGATTCTGTATAACGGGGCGTGGCTATATGTGTTATTAGTTTAACAGAGCGAAACTATATCTTAAAATAACGTTAATGACAGCAAGGGAATCTTTTTGACTTGCATTTAAATAAGTTGAAGTGGATTGAATTACATTGAACGTTTTTATATTTTGTCAGTCTTAATTAATAGTAAGTACACTTTTTCAAATAAGGTTAATACCTATTTGTCCGATCAATCTTAATTCTGGTTATTAGTGTGTATTATATATAGCATGTGCCAAAAATCCTTTCAATATGTCATAAAACAAAACAAAAAACATCTAAAACGACAGAAGAAAAATTTTTTTAAAAATTTAAAAAATTAAAATAATCAGAATAAACACGAAAATTTTTCAAGGAGAAGTTAATCAGAACAAAGGCAAAATGTCTTTTGACGAAAAGAGGAAAGATCTTATAAGCAAAAAATGTGCATGAAATGTTGTTGATATTTTACCTACACTTGCCTCATTAGCTAAATAATTTAAACATCAAACGCAGATAAGTGGAGTAAAAATTACTAAGCCGTAATAACTGAAACAGACAAATTAAATCTATCAAAATTCGTTACATTAATTTTGCAGGTTTTCAAGAAAAAACCTTTGTAAGCAACTCAAGTATAATCAGCTGTGCCGGCAACACAACAATCACAATAGTCGATTTAAATGTGGAGCAATATCCAACACCATGCTCAGAATACAAGCAGTGTAATCTGACAGAAGAACATAAGACTCTCATTAAAATGAGTTGTAATAAAGAAACATCCTGCACTATCTCAACGATTATTCCAAATACATGTCTGTTCAAAAATTATGGACACGTATCTATTTCATATTCATGCACAAGTAAATATTGCATTTTATTTATTTTAGCTTAAGCGAATGTAGAGGTTGATAGATTTAATAAAGTAAACAGAAAAGAATTGAAAGATTTTTCAAAACTATGATATTAAAAGACAGCGAAAAAAAACGAAAAGAGACAGTCAACGTAGAGTAACAAACAGCAAAACCTAACTATTTTCTCCTTTACAACAATTTGTATAAAAACTTGGAAAACTTGGTTAACCGGTATGGGACGCTTGCGCTTTTTGGTAGAACATTTCGCTTGTTTTGCCAGGACAAACAAACACGAAGAATGTAGTTTCCGTTTATAAATTCTTCAACTATATAAAGCTACTTGAAGTATTTAGGGCAACATTTTATTATTCTATGCATAAAATTTCTTGAGCATAACACAAACACTCTAAGTCTAGCCACAAGTTGGACAAAAAAGGTGAACAAGTTCAAGTATGTTTTTATTTGTTTCAAATATTTTAAAGAACGAACTATTGGATTAAAATTCGCTTGCAGTAGTCAGTGAGGTTAAATTTTGTTAAAATAAGCTAAAAAAAATCAGTGATTCTTCGCAATTGGTGTGCAAGTCCAGTCAATTACCAGTGGATACATCGACGCGGACAAACTCCTGAATCTTCTACAGGACCAGACAGAGATCACACAACTGCGTCTGGTAAAGTAACAATGTAGACATGTATTTAAAAAAGATCCCACTCCCCAAAACAACAAACATAGAAAATAAAAAATTATAATCGAACTCCCTTTTTGTAAACGAGCAGGCTATCACGAATTCACCGAAGAGGTTACGTTTATCAAAATTTGAAGCACAAGTTTCCATCATGTTTGTAGCGTAAATATAATACGTTTCGTGTAAAAGTGAAAGTAGCGTACACGACCAGTGCCAGCTTAACTTCAATCAAGGTTTTTGTTGGTTTCAATTGTATTATTGGTTTTCGGTATATTAACATTGCTGCCTTTAAACTGTAATTTCAAATGCATGTTTAATGCAAGGGTGCATTACCTAGATCATAATTTACAATGTCAAAAAAGGTTTAAAGAAACAAGAAATGGAAGACATGAATGTTATATACATGTATATATATATATTTATTCACATGTTTAACTACATGTACTTGAATAATATTTAAAAACAAAGTATATTACAGGAATTGTTAACGGTAGTTGTACTTTCGAAAATGATCTGTGTGGTTGGTCAGTTAGTAGTAATGGAACTTACCAGTGGATACATCGACGCGGACAAACTCTTGAATCTTCTACAGGACCAGACAGAGATCACACAACTGCTTCTGGTAAAGTATCAATGCAGACGTGTATTTAAAAAAGATCCCACTCCCCAAAAAAACAAACATAGAAAATAAAAAATTATAATCGAACTCCCTTTTTGTAGACGAGCAGGCTTTCACGAAGTCACCGAAGAGGTTAATATTGACTGAAGCCTCAGACCTAAGTCAAAATATCCTTAAGAGTTGATAAAGTATGACTGATATCAAAGGACAACAATTGTTATATTATAGCATTATATTTTTTGTCTGTCCATTTTTTGTTCTATTTTCAGAAAGATACGTTCGTGAAAACTTTCTCATGCCTTTTTTTTTTTCGTTCTCATATCTTATCAAAGTGCGTGTGTTTATATGAATATTCGGTAACAAATTTTTAGAATTAATTTCAAATCGAGTTTTAGTTAATTGAAGATTTCAATTTTTAGAAACATAAGTTTGTTTTATACGTATACATTCAAGTAAGATCCAGTAGATGCATTTTTACCATAAAAGAAAACGCTAAACATGAATTTGAATAATTGTTTTTATTTCATGCGTTTCCATCAGTTTTTTTTTTTGTTTGTAACCTTGATTTGTCTTTTCCTAATAGTTTTACGAAATTTAATCATCGATGAACTACTGTTGTCTTTGTATATACATGTTTACTCGCAAATTCCGATGCTATCATTATAAAAAAAAATAGATATAAAGGGTTGATTCGTGCATTGAGATAATTACAAGTTTTGTACGACTTTCATTTGTTTACAATAGGATTCGTTTCATTTAACTTATTCATAACGTCTATGCATCGTGATTTAGAATGTTTATGAAGAACAAAACAGAATTGCACCACCGTCGATAAAGAGGCGGAATAATTCATAACTCATAAGTCGATATAAATTATCAACGCATCATGAAAAAAAGCCGAAAGGATATAAAAAAACAACACTAGTTCACAAAACACTTTTATAGGAGACTAATGAGATGACCTGCCGGAATATTACTACGTAGAAACGAAAAGTTACCAATTCGAAAGTTTAAATCATCTCTTTTTTAGTAGAGTTTTATTCTCAACCTTTTTTTCGTTCTTCCTAAAAAGCTCCTGTATGAAGTCAGCCTTTAAGACTGGGCAATATGAATCCAACTAAAAACTAGGGACGATCTCAGGTAGAAGGATGAGTAGATCCTGCTCCACTAGTAGCACCCTTTGTGTTTGTCATGGTAATAACAATTAAGTAATGAGTCTGATCTAGTCACAATCTAAGAAAAAAATTACAATATTGTAGTTCAGTCAGGAACATCTCCGCGACATCTGTAGCAGAGATATTTCATAACGGCCACATTACTCGTGATAACGCCCGTAAAATAAATCCCTTAACATTCAGGAAAGTATAATGAAAAAGACTATACACGATTTTGGTAGTTTACACAGTGAAATCTGAAATATTCAAACGATACGGAATAAACTTGTCAGACTATGTTTAATTTTACATTTATGCTGCTTTTGGTATCATCCCCATCTTTTTACGCAAACAAATATTTGTTTAGGAGATGGTTACTACATGTATGCTTACACGAAGTCTGAATGGGGCTCTCAACCAAAAGAGGAAAGTGATCTGTTTTCTGGTTGGATAGGACCGAATCCAAAGCAGTGTTTAACATTTTGGTATCTCATGCATGGGGAACAAATCAACACATTGAAAGTATTTCAAATGGATAGTGAAAGTACTATTGAACTGTGGAATAAATCAGCTAATCAAGGAAACAAATGGTATTTTCAGTCGCTGTCATTGAATGATATAGGGCTATATCGAATAAAGTTTAAAGCCATTCGTGGTAACGGAAGTAAAATTGAAATCGCTATTGATGACATCTCCATTACCAACACCGATTGCAAGAAAGGTATGACACGTACTTCTCTTTAAGTACAAATGTTTTTTTCTTATAATCTTTGTTTATAATTTTAGACTGTTATGCAAAGGGACATGCTCTGCAATGCGAGTGGAAAGAGCATGGTGTATTGTGTTGGATCTCACAACAATTTAATTTAATACTAAATGCATTACATATTCGTTAAAAAAAAGTAGTTGTAAAAATGATGTTTACCAAATGAAAATTCGTAACAGCTCAAGTACACATAAACTTAATTATTCCATTAAGTTTGAAATGACAGGGAACGTATTCTGTGACAGCTCTAAAACAGTCCGGTAAAAAAATTAAGAAATACAACGGTTTTCAGATATTTTCAACTATGTTACAATGTTGGTCGCTCGCTTGTATGACAAGACTATCAAAATGCTTGACTGTGGTATAACAATATGGGCAGCCTTAACACTTGCTTTCCCGCAGTAAAACATATGCTGTTATGTTGAGCGGAACGTTTGATTATACTGCAATGTCAGTTTAAAACTTCCCGTCCATCGTGTCGATATCCTTAATTTGTAGAACTATTCTACATAACTGATTGATTCATTGTTGTTTGATAAACGCCCAGTATCAAACATTTCATACATATTCAGGACACATTACCAACCAATGCAATATTTGAGTTCTACACAGTGGGTCCACCGAGAATTAGAGCAATATGTTTTACTAAACCTGGAAAACGAAGACAAGTTTATAGGAAAAAACATTACGCATTGTTACGGTTTGTTGTTCAAGGAGAGAGTGTCGCACTATCTCTTTCCGAGTCATCATATTTGATGTTAATGTTTAATTTAATGTAAATCTAAAAACGGGAAGTCCATAAAAACTGAAAAAATCAAATGTTATCAACCAGCGGATGAAGCTTTATCAGTGTTTTTTTTTTATTTTTAGTTTAGGAGGATATATTAATGGGACCCAATCAGAAAGGTTGGATTATTAATGGAAAGAACATCTTTAATTTATCTGTATGTCAAAATAAATTATCTGACTTCTTTGATCTTCTTGTTTTTTACAAGTGTCTGAAGAAACCCCGACTCACATAAAAAAAAGAAAAGGCTGCCAAGGAGATATGTCAGTTCCAATAAGAATGCCGACAACTTGCTAGAATATTCACCCTCCAAATTTAGCAAATATGTTGTCAAAAAGAGCTCAAGCATACTGATCACTTGTTCTTTGGTGTAACAGGTTTTATTTTCGAGCTCCTTTGTAACAAAATATGCAGAATAATATCCTAAAACAATACATTTGTAGCGTATGGTACCGTTTTTTATGGAGGAAAGTATTGTGGATCATTTCTTTCAGACGGGTTTTTAATTATTCATGTGGTAGAGTAGGGTAAAGGAAGGAGCGTCATTGAAGAAACATTAATTGTCAAAATTGAATCTAGGGCAGTAACATTGGTACCTTTAATATTATAACTAACCTATGATCATAGTTCTTTATAGTTTCTAGCCTTGATTGCAACTTTGAAGGAGAACCTTGCAATTGGAATGTAGAGCAGGAAACTGAATATATGTGGACTGTTATTTCTGGCGGAACTCATCCTAATGATACCGGACCGGAGGTTGATCATACAGACGGATTTTGTAAGTGGTTTATAACATCATGTTTACTTATTTTATATAATAATTAGAATAAAGATACCATCTTCCGGAGCTTTTAATATTTATCTGATCAGGAACGCTCAAATCCAAAAACTTAGAAGCCTAGAATAAATAGTCGACATGGAGTTTTACCTTAAGGGACATAAATGAAAAGACAAGTCCACTTAACGTAAACTTTACTTGTTTATGTCAGTTGTGTTGTATGTCTGTGATGTATGTGTACACAGTTTTGAATGCTGGGACCCAATTATTGTCACGTCAACTAATTGTGTCTGTTTGGGTTGCTCACCCAATTGTGTTAATAAAGCTAGAAACAACTAGCATACAAGTTGGAGGTTTAGATAGCATAAAACCAAGTTGAACCCACCGTTTTCTTCACAAATGCCTCTACCAATATGGTTTAAGAAAATTGACAATTGTTTTCTTTCCGTTATTTGATTACGTTGAGCGTTTGATTTTGTCGGGTTTTATGAACTTTTCCCTTTTTTAATTAACCTTTGAGGTCAGTATTTTTTGTTGATACATGTACTTATTAGTTATTACCTTGGTTTTTGAAACGTTGTAACTGTCTTCCAGCTGCATAATTACGTGGTTAATTATTTCAGTACCATGGTGCTGACTTCTGAGGTGATGATACCCTCAAAGACTATTGCCAACATCGACCAAATGCTAGAAAAAGAAAAAAATCATTTAGATGTAGTGCATTTTCTCGATTCTTTATTACACTTCCTCATTTGCGCTCAAACCCGCAAAGGAACCCAACATATAGTCAAATTTAACTTTGCCGCATTATTGCGCCTGTCCAAAGTCAAGAGCCTCTGGCCTTTGTTAGTCTTGTGTGTTTTTTAATTAAAGTTCATTTATATGTTTTAGAGTTTAGTGTGACGTCCATTTTCATTGAACTAGTACACATTTTTGTTTAGGGGCCAGCTGAAGCCCGCATGCGGGTGCGAGATTTTCTCGCTGTGTTGAAGACCCATTGGTGGCCTTCGGCTGTTTTCTGCTCTTTGGTCGGGTTGTTATCTCATTGACACATTCCCTATTTCCATTCTCAATTTTAAATTCTTTTTAAGTCAATTTGACTTGAGGAATTTGAAATCGTAATTTCGTTATAATTCTAAAATATCAACCTTAAAATAAGGAAAGTCATGATATAAATCAAATCGATTGACTACTGAACTTTTGATAATTTAGGTGACGATTTTCCAATTTTGACACTTCAAATCAACAAAGTAGATCAAATTGTTTTTCATTACTTGAATCGCTAAGTTCCAATATAAAACACCTGAAGATATACTTTTTCTAACAATAAAATCTTTTATTTTATCAGAATCCCCAGAAATGTACTGCTATCGAATTATTGTCGTCTTATATTTTAATTTGCCGAGAGTTTTCCCGTAGTTCGACAATTGAACAGCGAAAGTGTAAAGGGAAAGGGAACACAGGTAGCTTGACCGCAGTAAAGTGTATGTAGAAAATAAAACCTAATAATTTTCATATCGGTGTATGTCAAAAACACTTTGAAAAAAGTTCGCAAGTATTAGTTCTTACTCTTTTGCAGTGATATCAATCCTCATCCTTGTCTAGTCCTGAACCTCGGCACGTTTGCTATAATAACCATGACCTGCAAATAAACACTATCAGACTGTCGTGGTACCTTTTTAATAAGAATTAATCCTCTGTGCAGTTACATCAAAGGATAAAATATAATTTCAAAATAACGTCTTTTTCAACTGATTATGAAAACTACATCTACAATTTATATGTATGGTCTTTTCTCCAACGTAAACGAATTATTTGAAATTATATCAAAATCATTCTTTCAAGAACTAAAAAATGTTTACACTGCTAAGTGAATAAGACCAAAACCATTGTAGTCAGCATAGAAACAATACATTGTACAGTTGTGGGATCAAGTGTGGTGTAGTGGACACCCTTAAGTTAAAACCGCTCAGCGAAAAAATTAAGGTTACGCCTCCTAACCTCATCCCCTTGTCACGCGACAGCTGTTAATGAACATAAATATCAACTTTTTAATTGTTTTTTTTTTTTTTTTTTTTTACATAACTTAATCAAGTTGTTCTATCCAACAGATGATGGAAATTACATATATCTCAACGCCTCAAACATAGAGCCAGGGCAGAAATCAAATTTTACAAGTGTGACTGTGTCTTCGGAAGGTGATGCCTGTTTTACTTTCTGGTTCCATATGCATGGAGACGGAATGGGAACGTTAAATGTTTACCTTGTATCAGAGACAATGACACCAAAAATATGGTCAAGGTCAGGAAATAAACCAGATTTATGGCAGTTAGCATTCGTTGATATTTCAATGTTAGATTCATACCAAATGACGTTAGAAGGGGTTCGAGGTTCAACAAAAAAAGGGGATATAGCAGTAGATGACATTTCACTGCTGCCCGGGTCATGTAATAAAAGAGGTAAATATTTTGAGTTTATATATTTTTTACTAAGCTTGATAAATAAGCGCTGAAGCTGTTTCCACTTTTAGTTTTGTTTTCAAATGTTTTAATGTATTTAAGATTAGAAATGTGGACTTCGGGTGTTTTTATTGTTTTGTAGACATTTTGTCTTTTTGTCTTTTTGTCTTTTTTTTTGGCACTGTTTCATGACAATGTCAGTTTTAATTCAAAAAATAAGTTAATGTTCCCTTTGTATCTTCCGTCACTGTTGTATATCAATAATCATGTGATCGAAAGAGGTTGTTAGTGGCCGCAATAAGTAGAAAAATTGACCTCAAGATTGATTAAAAAACTGATGAAGAGATATCTGTACATACAATTGAATTTTGTAGTCGGTAAAATACCTTTTTTTCACTTTGTCAAATGAGCAACAATCCCTATAGTCAAAGACGACTGTCACAGTTTTGATATGAAGGCGAAGTAGAATCAGTGTCTGTTTATTTGGGGTATTTTAAATTTTTGAAACCTGTACTTTTAAATAAATACAATGGCCAGTGTGCTCTGTGAAGTTCTTTCAACAGGAAAGATAAATTTCTCCTGGAAAAAACATTTATTCATTGAATAATTTGCCTGTAGAAAAATAAGAAACTCCTAGTAATGAAGCTGCATGTACCAATGCTACAAATTTAAAATGACACACATTGTCAAATCAAGAGATAATAATTACAACTCTATTTAAAAAAAACTACTGAGGAACACATTTTAATTTCATTTGGTCAGAACAGAAGAATAAATACTTTGTAAAAGAAATATAATATAAGGCTGTAGATGATTTTGGTCTAAATATATCATATTGCAAATAAATTATATCATAAACTTTGATGTCATAGTGATAAAACTTAAGGCTGACATAGTAATGCCGACAAAACTTCCATCGTACAATCTAGTAACCCAATAAAAACAGACTATATGTATAACTAAAGCGGAAAATAATGTGTTGATTGAATAATCACAACATCACATGCATTTTTTGTGCGTTATTATTCAGTATGGGAACATGTATATTCATCACCAGGAGCTTGTCTTTTTTACAGCCAATAGTTCAGATTATAATTGTTAATTTCGACGTTTTCATATAATGTCGGCAATCTTGTTATCAAAAACTCTCAAGAAAAAGAGAAAAATAATATTAAAAAAGAAGAGATTTTCTTGATGTATATATGTTGACATTTAGACGTTTTTTTGTTTACCTTTTGTCGTTACTCGTTACCGTTTATTTACTCTTATTCATATAACTGCATTTATGTATAAATGCATAACATATATGTACGTTTCGGCGATAGAGTGTATCGACAAGTAGTAGGTATTCCTATGGGCACTAACTGCGCCCCTTTAATAGCAGATTTATTCCTGTATTGCTATGAACCTCAGTTTATGACCAAACTCAGTAAAGACACGTCATTGTTACATTTGGTTGATACATTCAACAATACCTTCCGTTATCTAGATGATATTTTTTCGTTAAATAATCCAGAGTTCTCTAAAAATACTACCGAAATTTACCCAATAGAACATACTTTAACTAAATCTAACATAAACAGCAGTAGTTGTCCTTTTCTGGATTTGGACATTTCAATCTCTAAAGGAAAACTCCATACGAAAATTTACGACAAAAGAGACGATTTTTCATTCCCTATTGTTAATTTTCATTTTTTAGACGGCGATGTTCCTTTGGCTCCATCATACGGTGTTTATATATCCAAACTCGTTCGTTATGCCCGTGTGTGTAGTGATGTCATAGATTTTAACGAACGTAATCAATGCATCACTGGTAAATTATTAAATCAAGGATTTCATTACCATAAATTACGTAAAACTTTTGCCAAGTTCTTTCATAGATACAAAGATTTGATTAGTAGATTTGGCTGTACTTGTAGAAACCTGATTACAAACGGTATTTCACATCCTAAATTTTATGGTAATATTGTACTTAAAGCGCGGAAATCACTATGTGATCCGTGTAAACTCATCGAACCTTTAAACAAACTTATTAGTAAAGGTTATCTTACCAATGTTGTAATTAGATCTTTGAATATAGTTTACTTTGGCACTAATATCGATTTTGTCATCAGCAAATTAAAACATAACTAAATTTGTATTTTTTTCAAGCGGGACGTATAAAGACACACCCACGTTCGTTTAGATCTAAAAAGAGGTTAAACTCCTAACTATCCTACTGTCTGTCGATACATTTATTTTTGGCATTGCACTAGTCATGTCTTCTTTGACTGTCCATGACGTTAAAATACTAAATCCCTGGGATGTGTTTTAGTTGATTTTAGTCTCTGATGCATGATTTTTTATTATTTATTGTTTTGGCTTTTAACTAGCTGTCAGTAACTGCGAGTACTTTCAAATCGTACTTTCTTGTTTATTTGACCTGTTGATACTAATTGTATTGCTTGTTTGTTATTTAATGTTATTCAGGGTTATATCTGGTCTATATACCAGCTTTGATAAGTGTTTGGTATTACTATAAATTTTCACTTCGTACTATGAACATCAAAATTATTTATTTTGTAAAAATATTTCCTTTCTCTATTGGTACTGTACACGTATATCTAACAACAAAATTATTTTCATTTACCTGTGTTTAAAGTTATTGCATATGGCTGATATTTTTGTTCGAGCATATTGTTTTTCTTTAATTGTTTAATATTTCTTACCGATATAACATGTTACTTTTATTATTCTTCCCCTAGTTTATTTATTTTGTATTTACATTGTGTCATAGGTCAAATTTATTTGTTCAGTGTATGTTCAATGGTGTTAATATGTCCTTTGATTGAGTTAAGCTATTTCAGTTGATATTTTATAGTGTGTCTTTCTATGTTGTGATGTTACACTATTGTTTCAGAAAAAGGGTGAAGGTTTGGTACCATTAAAACGTTTAAACCCGCTGCATTTGTTTGCACCTGTCCTAAGTCAGGAATCTGATGTTCAGTAGTTGTCGTTTGTTGATGTGTTACATAAGTGTTTCTCGTTTCTCGTTTTTTATATAGATTAGATCGTTGGTTTTCCCGTTTGAATGGTTTTACACTAGTAATTTTTTGGGGCCCTTTATAGCTTATTGTTCGGTGTGAGCCAAGGCTCCGTGTTGAAGACCGTACTATGACCTATAATGGTTTACTATTATAAATTTTGACTTGGATGGAGAGTTGTCTCATTGGCACTCATACCACATCTTCTTATATCTAATTACCAAAATCGACAAAAACAAAAAATACACATGACATCAAAACGCATTAGAATAGTAAGTGTTCTTGTTATTATATATTTTCTCCAGTTAATAGATTTAAATGTTAAGATTTGAAAATGTGGAGGGAAAGAAGAGTTATCTTGGTTTGTCATATATTTTGTATAGTATATAGATTTTTAAGTTTCAGAATTGAAGTATATCTGTTTTTCCAAACTGTTTCTAAAATCATCGATAAAATAAAAGCAAATTTGATAACTCGTTTATAAAAAATGGAGTTCTATTGCTTTTATTTCATTCTTTGAATACATTGATTTATAACTAAAGTTCCACCTTCCATTAGAAAACGCAGTTCTTTTGTGACGGAACACTCATCTAATTCAAATGCATAGCACTTGACGAATGCGAAAGCTGGATGATTATGATCTAGTGCTTCAAGCCGTTACTTTGCTAATAATTCTTCAATAACATTAAATATAAGTCGATAAAACTTATAACCCTACATTTGATTAATTTTCAAAAATGGGTTCCTTATTAAGTGAAATATTATATTGTTATGTTTATGTGGGATTGGTGCTATCGATGAGCTCCTGGTTTTGTATATAACAATTACATGCTTTTTTTACTTGTCATTTTACTACTTTGGTAATCTGATATATTCATATTTTAGGGAAATTGGTTGCTTTTTTTTTTTGGATAATGAAATACATTTGAGGGAAATCGTATGCTCCCTTATGAGCTTTTACGAAAAATTCTTCAAAATACGCACTGAACATGAAGATTTGACCATGAATGCTCTAATATACTATGGAACAAATCTAACAATTATATTTTAGCTTTCTTCTTGGACTGTAACTTTGAAGCCGAAAAATGCAATTGGTTGGCAGGTTCTGAAACGCCATATATTTGGACATCAACCTCAACAGTAGTCAAAGGTCCAAATCATGATCACACCATTGGAACTGGTAAAGGTTAACAATATCATTACCTACATACGACTTTTCATGTATTTTGTTGTTTTGTAATATTTATTCTGGTGAAGTTTAAGTTAAGTGACTGGTTTTTTTATGAAGACTACCAACAAACTTTATTGTTTACTTTAATTAACTGTAAATGAATAATAGTTCTGACGTAAATTGGTATGGATCCAACGAAACACGTCCTGGTTGACAATTAAGTAATTCCTATGAATATTGAAACAACCCTTTAGAAAAGCTTGATTTTGCAAAAATTGTCAATTTATAGATTATATGTTTTTACAGTTTATTCTCTCTAAAGTCAACGTCAATGTTGGAGATCGTTTACTGTATAGATGTTATTATTATAAATCATCAAATTAATCTTCATACCAAAAGGAATAGGATCAATTTCCCTTATATTTATTAGTCGACAGAGTCAAAATCTAAAAGTTGTGAAATTCTACAGGAATTCGATCAGTTAAAAGAGAATATTATATGGCTTTTTCTATATCACATCATTATCAACTCGAGACATCAATATCATCCCACGACCTTTTCTCAAGGGATTATATTCGTTGAGGGTTGATACGGTGTGTGATATTGAAAAACCCATATCATATACACTTTCTTATATACCTCAAAAAGATGGTTTTCGTGTGACAAGATGTAGTACAGATTTTTATGGATTTGATAAAGCCTTTGCAACTGTGAGTGATATCGATGACGCGACGTCATACAGTTTGGAGTGTGATAAAGCCTCTGTAGTTGTGACTCATATCGATAATATTCCGGCTGGCTGATACAGCACGATTGGTCGTATTACACGTACAATTTACCTGTATTCATTTCTTAGTGTATAATAAAAAAACACTTTTACATATTTCCATAATGCCATTTAGAGCAACATCATGGTGCTGAAGGTATTTTGATACATTTTGATAATTAGTATCCTTAAGACAATGTGCAGGTACATGTAAACCTTTACTTCAACAGAAATTTTTGAGGAGTCTTTGAAAAGTCTTTTTTTCATGATCTGTTAAATACAGGGTTTCTGCTGGCGGTCGCATTTTGCGAAAAAAATAAAAATTGTGGCGATTAAAATTCATTATTGGCGAAAGAATTTGGCGAAAGAAATATAACTATTCGATTTCATCCATCTTCTTTACTTTTTGCGGGTTCCTCGGACTTTACTTGATCAAACAATACAGGAAATTTACCTTGAACTCGTTACGATTATGACAGAAAAATCAATAATCATCTGGTTGCATTTTTTAGCTTTAGGCAATAATGGACTAATTTATAAAGGTGTTGATTGTATTGTTTAAAGAAATGAATGTGATAAAATGTCGTCACATGTCAGTTAAAGGATTTCTTTACAACTTTACGACGCACGTGTTTGAAGCATAGGTTTACATCTCCTTTTTTCTATTAACGATGGTCCGGAAAAGAAAACTGTTGTTATGACAAAAAATATTCAAAAGCAAAAATCTCCGACTATAAACTTTATCCTTTAACTTTGATAGAAATAGTTGATTTGATGTGGGTACTTTACAATCGTTTTGGCGACGCATTTGTTTCAAGCATAGTTTTACGTCTCGAATTTTTTTGTTTACGATGGTCCGGAAAAGAAAACTGTTGTTATGAAGTAATATATTCAAAAGTAAGAAAAATCTCTGACTTTAGTCTTTATCATGTTTATCCTTCAACTAGACGGGAAATATATATCCGATAAACTTATTGAAGACGAATCTCGTGCTCCCAGAGGTCAAAAATGATGATTTCATGATCTATATTGCAATTTTACAGTATCTTTTGAAAAATAAATGTTTCGTGTTTATCATTACCATGATAACAAAGAATTCATAAATAATATTTGTAGAATTATCATAGACAACAATGGGACAAACTGTTTTTTTGGGGTTTTTTTTTTTTTTTTTTTTGTTAGAAAGAAGAAAAATTTTAAACGAAAAATATGTTTATATTAGTTGGCGAAAAATAAGTAAAAGTGGCGAAAAATATTGTTTTGGCGAAAGAGGTGGCGAAAAATAAAATTGACCAAGGGGAAACCTTGGTTAAATATACTAAGTATTTACTAAATGTACCGTTTCTGACTATATTAAAGCGTTTTTGATTTGTTCATCTGTTTAAAAATAAGCTCTTATATATTTACAAACTCAACGTTCACACACGGAGCTTTAAATTGTGAATCTACGTAAGGATTGTAAGGCTTTGGAAATGTCTCTCATGTGAAATGAATTCATTGATTAAAGGGAAGTTGGGCCTACATTTTTATGATTCCCAGCAAGACTTTTTTTTCTACTTTTATTTAATGTTTTCAGTTTGTTCGACAATCGCATGTTTTCAGTAACTTTGCAGTTTAAAATAAATCAAATCTTCTGATTATCAAGAAAAATTAACTGCAGAGACAGGATTTTCTCTGCAAGACTTGAATAAGGAGGGTATATACAACCCCCATAACGTTTGTATGGTATTTATACGACAATGCAATAGAGATGAGAAATAGTCCTTCAAGTATGTGTCAGGGCTTAATAAACTTTGATTAAGGTCAAAATTATAGTGATTTGTTAAACTTTTGTGTCTAGTATTTTAGAGTTTTTACTGCACTTTTTCTATAGTTGGTGTACATCTCCTAACGAGTATACCCTCTGATATTAAAATGATAAAACTCAACGATACCAGTTTAAAATAATGACATGTTGTATGCTTCCCAATTTGACATGTATCTTATAAAGTCCAAATGACATCGAAATATAGATAATCGTACAGTGGGCAACACCAATACCGTATAGTATGATATAAAAAAAAGTAAAATAACAAAAATACCGAACTCCGCGGAAAATTCTAAACGGAAAGTCCCTAAGCAAATGGCAAAATCAAAAGTTCAAACACATCAAACGAATGGATAACAACTGTCATATTCCTGACTTGGTACAGGTATTTTCTTATGTAGAAAATGGTAGATTGAACCTGGTTTTATTGCTAGCTAAACCTCTCACTTGTATGACAGTCGCATAAAATTCCATTATTTGACAACGATGTGTGAACAAAACAAACAGACATAATAGGTAAAAATGTCAAAAATAGGGGTACAGCAGTCAACATTGTGCTATAATCTTAATCACTACAAAAACAAGCAAATATGTCAACAAAGACAAACAAAAAGGCATATAGACAAAGCACATAAGAAAAAACGAAAGACAAGAATACAAAAATTTACCATAGCACAACAACACAATGACGGGATGTACAAGTACCGTGCCACGTCAAATGAATCACTACAAACACAAGCAAATATGTCAACATAGACAAACAAAAAGGTATATAGACAAAGCACATTAGCAAAAACGAAAGACAAGAATACAAAAAATTACCATAGCACAACAACACAATGACGGGATGTACAAGTACCAAGCCAAAAATAGGCTAAACAGTAAAAGTAATTAATTACAAAGACAAATATAAGAATACTATAACACGTTATTAAGATGATAAACAACGTCAGTACATAGAATCTATACTTCAAGACCATCATGTATAATTTGTGATATTTATCAACAAGGTCTTGGTATCTTCCGATGAACTTTTTTAGAAAAAGGACGAGACGTTCTTTGACATACCCTAAGTTCATCAACTTTCTGCTCAGACACTGGTGACGTTTTACAAAGTCTGAGTAGCAGCTGCAAGCTCTTGAATACCGAATGAGTTGGGAAATGTATATCCCATATGCAGGTGAAGTTGCTATATTGCTACTAAGGTAGGGGAAATTGATAATCGTCTCGTTTGTCATAGATTCTGTTACTGAGATGACTGTGTATGTCAAATTCGAGGTATAAATCTAAAAATGAGGCAGTGGAAGCCGTGTCTGTTGTTTTTCTTTAATTTCTAGTTCTGGAGGATATATTAATGGAACCCAATCAGAAAAGTTTGGATTGTTAATGGAAAGAACATCATCAATATATCTGAATGTGAAATTAAATGATCTGGCTTCTTTGATCTTCTTGTTTTTGACAAGTGTCTGAAGGAACTCCGACTCATATTAAAATAAGAAGAGTTCGGCAAGTAGAGGCGCACAGTTCGTTCCCATTGGAATACCGACAATTTGTTGAAAAAGTCTACCGCCAAATTCAACAAATATGTTGTCAAAAAGAAACTCCAGCATACTGATCACTTGCTCCTCTGTGTAGCATGTTTTACCTTTTTGTTCACTATTAACAAAATATGCCGTTTGGTATCCCAAAGTAATAAATTTATAGCGTATGCTACCATTTTTATATTGAAAAGCATTGTGGATTATTTCTTTTAGACGATTTTTCAATTTCACATGGGGAATGGTGGTATACAGGGTTGAAAAATCAAAAGTTTTGATAGAACTAATTTCAGAGAAAGATCGAGATTTAAAATTATCCAGAAGTTCTTTGGAGTTTTTTAGAATCCACATATGGTAAATACTACTACGCGAGTAAACCGTTTCGCAGTATTGAAGACGCTCTTTCACTGCGGACAGAATCTTCTAATCTAATGGACAATTCTTTAGTCGAACATGCAGATGAGCCGGCAATGTAACGTTGTTTGTATGGACTTTTGTGAAGCTTAGGTATCCAATACAAACAAGGTAAGCCCTCCGATTTGCTGTTCAATGTAATGTTCATTGATGCCATGAAGGACTTATGATTCGCCAAAATATCATCCTTCTCAAATGATATGTTTTGTAAGTGCTCATTTATTCCTAATTCTTTTACAAGACACTCGTAGTAGTACGATTTACATACAAAGACAATATTTTTTGAAGCTTTGTCCGCAGGAACAACAACATACTTATCGTGAAGAGATGATAGACATTTCACAGCCTCTTTGTCTCTGAAAACGGACTTCGGTCGATCATTCACACAGTTTTTTAACTTATGAATGCGACGTTTTATCAGAGACCTGATTGTTTTGACCCATTCTGACAAAGTGTCCAGTTCCACCTCTTCTCGTTTAGCCTA